TGGATATTATATTATGGTACCCTCCCTCTCAACCTTTTAATTTAATATCCTGTTCCAATGTACTAGCTAACACTTAGAAGCAAAACAATCTCAGGGTTTTTAAATAATAATAATAATTATTATTATTATCAATTTTAATGAAAATTTACAGAGATTTTGCATTTCCATTCATTCATTGTTGTGCTTTTCTCCTTGCCCACCCCTTTCCTCCAGTTTGTTCTTCTCTTTGAAAAGTAAAAGAAAAATTCTTTCACTGTTATACAATCCCTCCCCCCAAGTCTACTCCACTATGCAGCCTTCATTCTGAACTCCTGTCATGGCAATAATACCTAATCATATATCCCTTTTAAACAGTTCTCTTCCTCATCTGTTTCTCATCTGTTTCAATGCAGTATACATAATTTATCTCATCTTTCTCAGTCTCTCCCCAGCCTCTATGTCAGTTCTGTTTTACAACAGTGCAATTTCAGTTCTATGAGATAAACACATCTGTGTAGAACAAGCACAAAAGATTATGGAAACATACGGAAAACAGGAGGCTTATGTAGTCTTGAGTGAAGAAAGAAAGGCTACAGGACATGCCCTATGGCTAAAGACTACAGTCCTCTATGACTGGAGGAATTATCTAGGGAATAGGTGTAAAGTGGGGGAGTAGTCGGAGGAAAAGATTTTCACTACTGGGAGCAAATATTTAAAGGTCTGGAAATAATACAGAGAACACTGGAAATGGAAGTGGATCAACAGGGTTAGTGAAGTAGGAGAACTGAACAGAAGCCACTCCCACTGTATTTTGAATGTGTTCTATTGTTTTTGAAATGGATCCAAAGAAAGGTAATAAATCTTAAGAGTTTCAAGAAGAAGAATGACTCTAGTCAATTCTTTGCATTAAAAATCATCCTGCTAGTGCAACAATGAATGAATGGAAATCCAAAGTCTCTGTAAACTTTCATTAAAATCAATTAATAAAAAAAAGAAAGAAAAAAGCATTCTGCTAGTACTGTAGAGAATACAGTTCATACTCAGCATACTATGTATTTAAGTTAGGAGGAACTGAATTTACAATCATCTTTTCTTTTATACTGGATACTGTGTTGCTGTGTGTAATTTGCTTATATGGTACCATTCTCAGATGTTTGCTCATAGATATTTATGTGTAACATAATAACCTCCAAAGATGAATAATAATTAGTTTTATGAAGATCGTGATAAAAAGATACTAACAATGAAAACTGGGGGGGAAAAAGAAAAGACAAAACAAAAGAGTCATTGAACTTAAATTAGAACTGACCTATGACAGAATAGGGAAAAGAAAGGAGGCTCTTAAATATTCACTGGGAGGAGGGACAGTGCCCTGGGAGAGAGTAGAGTGGTGAGATTCTAAGACCTGGATAGACAAAAAAAATGCCCAACACCTGGCAACTGATTAAACACGCACCATGAGAAGAAGCTACCAAGACAACCAACACCAAGGAGTTTGTCCTGGGTATCTGGACTAATGAAAGTGCTTTTAATGAAATAAATAGCATCCTAAATTTTCTCAGGGAATAAGGATGACAGGAGAATAATCAATGCCTTTTAACTTAAGTGTTTGAGAAAGTTCAGAAAATCCACCAACTGCCATAAGAATACATCTGTCCTGCCGGAAATGAACCTCGATTGAATGTTGCTTTGGGGTAAGACAGTGAAACTCATCTTACTTTGGCCATGCTGTCGCAAGGGGCCAGTCCTTGGACAAAAGTATCATGATGGAAAAGATGGAGAGTCAAAGAGAGGAAGACACTCAACAGGCTGGATTAACACAGTGGTGTAACAATGGGCTTGAGCCTATCAGAGAGCGTAAGAATGATATAGGATAGAGCAAGGTTTCAACCTGCTGTCCGTATGGTCAATGGAAGTCACAGTCGACTAAATGGCACCTAACAATAACAAGAAAACTCGGTAAGGTGAGAGAAAGATGGCAAGGTTGGGAGGGTCTATAGTTATTTTTAGTAGTTTAACATGTCTATTTCTCCTGGCACAAAGATATAGAAAGTACAATAGTTTAGTATGGACAACTGAGAAAGAAAATGAGGACAGCTATGACATTTTCATCCATCCTGGGCAGTCTGGGGGCAGATTTGGAAAGCGTGAATGGTAAATTGAACCTAAGCTATGAGGACAGGTTTATAGTAAAATACAAGGTGAGATGAGAGGCAATATCCCAGACTAAAGCAGGAATTGCTGACATCCCTTCCAATGAACACAAACTGGATACAGAAGCTAGAAAAACCAGAAATAAGCCAGTAAGAGACTAAGGAGGCATGAATGGCTGGAGGCCAATAGGCTGAGAATGAAGAGAGGATTAAAAAAAAATAAATAAGAGCTAGTCATCAGGAAGAATGGCAATTTCGAAAGCGTGGCAGTGACAAATTTCCAAATAACAAGGGAGGTCCACATGGGAATTGACTAGTTGAAGGGAGTGAGGTTTTTTATTACTTGGAGGTAGTAAGCAAGAGTGTTGCAAATGTTCTGAACATAAATGTTAGCATCCCAAAGAGAAGGAAACGTGTGGGCAGGTGAGCTGTGTCACTCTGAAGGTCAGTAAACTACAGAATCAGCTTGTGGGCAAAGCAGAAAGTGAAATGAGTGAGAGCTTAGAAGCAATTGTGTAGAGAAACACTATGATGGAGCACGGAATGGGATGAGCATTTCCATTCCAGAAGTCTCATTGCTTTTATTAAGAAGGAAAATTACATAGTGAAGTAACACAGGCTTGGGTAATGATTACAAACCGGGAAGATAATGCCAGGAAAGCATTCCTCCCAAGCACATAATATATAACAGTGGAGGAGTCTCCATAACTATCTTTCTTTGCAGGGGGCCTCGTGGAAACACGGATATTAGGGAGAGCAGGATTCAGGATACACGGGGCAGAAACCAAAGGGTGAGAGAGCTGGACGGACTCATTGTAGCTCCTGAAGAAACTGGTAGCAATTCCTACTGTGGCACAACTGAAGCTTCTCTGAGAAATTAACACTTCTAGGAATGTCAAGGTCATTTCAGTTTTATTTACTAAAACATTTTGGGGCCATTATTGTTGCTATGCCTCTAAGTGATGAGAATTCTTTGACAAGTCTTCTCTTTGAAAATTCTTTAATGCTTTTTGAGGACTTTTCAGCAGAGGGGAGGGAATAAACAAAAGCAAAGCAGAAGGCGGAAGACTTTTTTTTTTTTTAAGTTGAACACAGGGGAGGTTTTTTTTAATCAAACAAATCAACAGAGGGGCAATGACATTTTCTAGGAAATGCTATCCATAAAATACCAGAATGGGATGACGAAGAGGTGGAGACCTACACCGAGGATTTCATCCCCACCCTGCTCTGTCATTTTCCCCTAATGCTTCGACCACACCTGTGAGTTTCGCTTATTAAAATAATAAAGAGGTAGAGTGACTAAAGCCTGTTGACCACAGCGTCTCAACGCAAGGTGAACCAATTCCTCAAAGGTGACACCTGACAGACAAGATCAGTCAGTTGTCAATAGGACGTCTGGAGCTGCCAGCTAGCTTTTGCTCCAACTTGCTCTGCGTGTATGTGTGCGCACTGGTGTTTGACGTTTTGCTCACCTTCAATCAGTCTTTGAGAAAATGAATTTCATCTACTTGATTTCTTTTGCAAAATTTTGATATTAAAATCGAGAATAAAAAGGCGGGGCAGGATATCCAAATCAGACATGCTGTCGTTCAAAAGCCAAAGTCATTGACGCAGAATTGCAACCAACTCATGGCTAAGCACACACGGGTTTTTGAGAGACTCTCAGTTGCAGGGAGACTGCCGTCTTTCTCTGGAGAGGCTGCTGCTGGATGGCAACCACCCGGGGGCGTGGCCTTTGGGTTACCCGCAGACCTCCTTAGGGACCCCAGAGCTCTCCAGATGGTTGGTAGTTGTCAACTGCATTCCAGCTGATGGGGACCCCATATATAACAGAACCCCCAGTTCTGCATCATTTCCACCATGGTTGGGGTGCTCAAAGCCACTGTATTTCGAATAGGAGCCTCATTCTCCGACTCTTGATTGGGCAATATTCCACGTGAGCCATAGACCTTTCACTAGCTTATTTTGAAAAGTAGATTGCCAAGTCTTTTTTTCCAGTGTGCTGCTAACTGGGGGTTTTACTAAACTCTGGCCACCATTAATACCTAATATACCATAGGCACATAGCCTCCAGCGTCATGTCACGTAAGTCACCACAACAGGACAAAATGGCAAAGGCGGTGAAGCCATGCATTAACTAACTCAATTCAATTCAAAAGCTCTTGCCTTTCAGGGGAAACCAACTCACAGCTGACCCTCCAGTAGATTTTCAAAGGCTGTGATCGGGTGGAAGGAGCTTGTCCATCCTCCTGCAGAACAGCTGGTGGATTCAAACCACCTGCCTTTGGGTTGACAGCTCAGTTCTTCACACACGAGGCCACGAGAGCCAGTAAAAAACAATGTTTTAAGTATTTGAAGAAAAATAACAGTAAGGAGAGGTAATTTTCAGGCGGGTGGTAAACGAATGTCTTTGAAATATCACCTGTATGTGCAAAAATGGCAAAAGCAGCCTCCACTCGAGCAGCTGGGTGTCAGCGGTGAGGAGCTGAGTGACAGTTCAGGAGGGAAAGGACAGGTGGCACCCTGAGCGCAGGGGGTGGCCGCGGAGGACAGCCCCCCACCCCCCTCACGGCGCCCCGCAGGCGGGGCCGCACCTGCGCACGGGAGGGCGGTGGGCACCTGGGCGGGGCGCGCTCACCTGCGCCCACATGACGGGGCGGGGCCAGCCTCGCGGCCACG